TATATAAAAGAAGAGGAAAAGAGAGAGAAAGAGAGAGATAGAGAGATAGACAAATAGATGGATACATATAGATAGATAAATAGATGGACAGATAGAGAGAGAGAAGGAAAGAGAGAAATATAAAAAAAAGAGCAAAACAGACAAACAGCAGAAACAAAAAACAAAACAAAACAAAAAAAACAACAACCTTACCTCACTTCAGAACCTAAACTTATCATTGCGAAATCTTCCTTATGATTACACGTTGCAATGCTCCTCCTCCCTCCTCCCCCCATTCTGTTGCAGCGTGATTCTCCGACAGCAATAATGGCTTCATCCCAGACCAAAGACAGGTGTGAAGGCAGCCAAGCAAGGCGAACGGGCGAGCTAAAGTTTCGAATTTATCCCTTATTGCGGTTCGAAGCTTTTCCGAAGAGTTCAAAAGGCCAGCTGGAAAGGAGGGTGTGGATTCCTGGCGACTTTTTTGATGGATGTGTATAAAATGTGTCTACATGCATGCGTACATAGATAGATAGATACATACATACATATATAAACATTTACATTGATAGGTAGGTAGGTAGATAGATGTATATATAAACAGATAGATAGATTGAGAGAGAGAGAGAGAGAGAGAGAGAGAGAGAGAGAGAGAGAGAGAGAGAGAGAGAGAGAGAGAGAGAGAGAGAGAGAGAGAGAGAGAGAGGAAGAGACAGAGACAGACAGAGAAAGAGAAAGAAAGAAGAAGACAAAGATAGACGAAATCAAACAAACAAATACATAAACACACGAAACACACACACACACACACACAGCCTAAAACCCCATATAAGGAACCTAGAGAAAGGCATACCAAAGCAAGACAGTGCTAAAGAAAGACAAAGAGAGAGAGAGAGAGAGAGAGAGAGAGAGAGAGAGAAAGTGTTATCCTGCGTGTGTTGCCCCGCCCACCCTGGCCCACCGTGCCCACCCTTCCAACAAAGCGGGAACTGAAGTGGGTTTCATTTAAACGAGAGTGAAAATATTATCTCCTGCTTAGGTCGTCGACACACCCGCCCTTGTAAAGACTTAATTAAGTACTTAAATGAGTTGGAAGGGAAATGTTTAGCGTGTATTTAAGAAAGAGAATTATTGGTATATTAAATGGATGGATGACTAGAGGTTTATAACAATACTTTTTTAGTTTTATTTAACAGTTTGTGATAATTGTTTTTATTTTTGTTTGATAATTTGTTACAGTTGTGTTTATTCTACCTAAATACCTACCTATCTATCTATCTATCCATCTACCTATCTATCTATCCATTCATCTGTCTGTCTATCTACCTAAATACCTACCTATCTATCTATCCATTCATCTATCTGTCTATCTACCTAAATACCTACCTATCTATCTATCCATCTACCTATCTATCTATCCATTCATCTGTCTGTCTATCTACCTAAATACCTACCTATCTATCTATCTATCTACCTATCTATCTATCCATTCATCTGTCTGTCTATCTACCTAAATACCTACCTATCTATCTATCCATTCATCTGTCTGTCTATCTACCTAAATACCTACCTATCTATCTATCTATCAATCTAGCTATCTATCTATCCATTCATCTGTCTGTCTATCTACCTGCCTACCTACCTATCTATCTATCTATCAATCTAGCTATCTATCTATCCATTCATCTGTCTGTCTATCTACCTAAATACCTACCTATCTATCTATCCATTCATCTGTCTGTCTATCTACCTAAATACCTACCTATCTATCTATCTATCAATCTAGCTATCTATCTATCCATCTACCTATCTATCTATCCATTCATCTGTCTGTCTATCTACCTAAATACCTACCTATCTATCTATCTATCAATCTAGCTGTCTACCTACCTATCTATCTATCTATCAATCTAGCTATCTATCTATCCATTCATCTGTCTGTCTATCTACCTAAATACCTACCTATCTATCTATCCATCTACCTATCTATCTATCCATCTACCTATCTATCTATCCATCTACCTATCTATCTATCCATTCATCTATCTGTCTATCTACCTAAATACCTACCTATCTATCTATCCATTCATCTGTCTGTCTATCTACCTAAATACCTACCTATCTATCTATCCATTCATCTGTCTGTCTATCTACCTAAATACCTACCTATCTATCTATCTATCAATCTAGCTATCTATCTATCCATTCATCTGTCTGTCTATCTACCTAAATACCTACCTATCTATCTATCCATTCATCTGTCTGTCTATCTACCTAAATACCTACCTATCTATCTATCCATTCATCTGTCTGTCTATCTACCTAAATACCTACCTATCTATCTATCTATCAATCTAGCTATCTATCTATCCATCTACCTATCTATCTATCCATCTACCTATCTATCTATCCATTCATCTGTCTGTCTATCTACCTAAATACCTACCTATCTATCTATCCATCTACCTATCTATCTATCTATCAATCTAGCTATCTATCTATCCATTCATCTGTCTGTCTA